CGCATCCCGCGGTCTCATCCACAAGTTGATCGATGTTCGGCAGAGGGAAGGGGTCCATAGGGCACGCCTTATTCAGATCAGTGTAGTCCACGCACATGCGGAAGGTAGGAGGCTTCTGTGCGAGGACAACGTTTGCCAACCAAGAAGGATATTTCACCTCCTTAATGTGTTTGATGGAGAGGAGCATAGATACCTCCTTCTTCACGAACTCCCTTCTCTCGGCCGAGAGGGGTCTTCTTCGTTGCTGCACTGGTTTGGCCGAAGGGTCCACCGCTAGGCGATGGGTGATAACCCTTCGGTCAATTCCTGGCATGTCCTCCGACCCCCATGCAAAAACAATGGAGTAGGCGCGGAGGGCTTCGGTGATGCCAGTCTTCAGGTCTTCGGGGAGCTTGGCTCCAATCTTCAGGACTTTTTCCGGCTTGGCCAGATCGAGTATCAAGTCTTCGGTCTCCCCAGCAGGCTCAGCCCTCGGCCTTCCTTCTTCTTCCTCCAGGGCCTTGGCGGTGATGGTGTCAATCCGAAATTCAGTTTTACTAACCTTCTTGGTGAGTTGAAGGTAGCAGGCTCTGGAGAGTTTCTGATTCCCCCTCGAGTAACCGATGCCGGTAGGCGTGGGGAACTTGAGGCAGAGGTGCCTCATGGAGATGACAGCCTCCAAGTCCTCGAGGGCAGGCCGGCCGAGGATGATGTTGTGTGCGCAGTCGAGGTTGACGACGACGAACTCCACTTCGAGCTTGGCTCTATGGGATCCGTCGCCGAATTCAACCATGAGTGTGATGACGCCCTCGGCGTCGATGCTATCCCCCGTGAATCCGGAGAGGGGGGTGTTGATGTGTCGGAGGGACCCTCTGTCGAGTCCCAACTCTTGAAAAGTGCTGAGATACATGACGTTGACAGAACTCCCCGTGTCGACGTAAGTCCGGTAGATGATGGCGTCATTGATCTCAGTGCGGATGACGAGGGCATCCCTATGCGGCAGAGAACCCGAGGGGAGGTCCGCATCTGTGAAGAAGATTGGATCCGCCCTCGGCCTTTTAGTTGGGGGCATGTGATTGACCTCTCCAATGTAAAGGGACTGTGCCCACTTCTTCCTTTGGCTCGTTGAATCGCCTCCGGTGTTGCCGCCGTTGATCATATGGATATGGCGCTTGTATTGTTGGTGGGAGCCCTCTCCCTCGTCATCTAGGCCACCGATCTCACGTTTCTTCCCCTGTGGGTTTCCCAAGGGGATGGTGTTGGGGTTCACCCACTTGTTGGCCTTCGACGGGGGCCCTTGATGGTGAAGGGGGCCCTGGGGAGGAGGGCCCCTGATGAACTGAGATAAGTGGCCTGCCTGTATCAGCTTCTCGATGGCGTTCTTCAGCTGATGGCAGTCGTCGGTTTTGTGTCCATGGTGGCGGTGGAAGCGGCAGTAGGGCTCATCGGGACCGATGGCATAAATCTCGAGGGGTGTGCGGGAGTCTCGCTCTACGAGCCCCCGCTCTTCCGCATGATCAAGAATGACGCTGACGGGATGCGTCAAGGGAGTGCGTGGGTGCTCAAGGAGGACGGGTTGCGCCCATGCCTTCGGATTGTTCTTGTAACCGCCCCCCGGGTCTGGCTTGGCCACCTCGGGAGCGATCGTTGTATTGGGGCTCTCGGTTGGCCGGAGGGGGAGGCCCTCCGGGCCGATTCCTGCCCTCATTCTTCTGAGAAGGATCCGTGTTGCGGCGGTCCTTCTCGATTTCCTCTGCCTCAGCATAACGGTCCCCCCGCTGAAGGGCCTTCGTATAATCGCGGGGGGGATCAGTGATAAGACTCCGAGAGAAGTTACCGTTGCGGAGGACGGTGTGGAAGAGGGCCATCAAGGTTCTGTCATCGGCGCCTTCGACCTCGAGGGAGGCCTGCCTCCAGCGTTCTAAGAAACTCCGAAGGGTTTCTTCCTTCTGTTGCCTCACGTTTAGGAGGTGGGAGAAGTGTTTCTTTGAGCGATGCCTCCCGGCAAACTGTGTGAGGAATCGGTGGGCAAGTTCCTGCCAGGAATCAATGCTGCCTTCGGGCAACCGGTTGAACCACTCATACGCTGGCCCCTCCAAGGTGGAAAGGAACCATCGGCACAAGTATTCGTCCGAGGCCCCCATCATCATCATGCTATTTTGATAGCGACTATAGTGCTCTTGGGGATCCGTCTTCCCCTCATACGGCTTGATGGGTTGCCCCCGATATTTGTGGGGGATTTTGGCCGCCAACACCCTTGGGGTGAAGGGTGTTCTAGTACGGAGTTGAATGAGGGGCTCGCCTGAGCCTTCGGCAAGCTTACGCTTCATTTCCTCCACCTGCGCCCGGAGGTCGGCGTACTCAGGATCCGGCCTTGCTGTGGAAGCCGTCGGGGGTGCCTGACGATTTTCCTCGAGTTGACGGAGGAGGGCTTCAATGATTTCGTCCTTGGGATCCTTCGGGGCAACCCCTTGGGAGTTGGCCCGGAAGGATTGTGCCTGTGTGATTTGGTGCCTGGCATCATCGGCATGAAGGAGAGCTTTGCCTCTGCTTCGGGGGGGAGGTACGCCCTCGGCACCCAAAGCGGAGGCTCCACTTTCCTGGGGCCTGCTGAGCGCTTGTTTCCCGAGGCGGTCTTGGACCACTCGGTGCCCGGGAGCTCCCCCGAGCCTCTCAAGTGCAGAGGTTCGGGGCCTCTCTTTCATCATGGGGCGCTTGTCCCTGGACTGGGCCTCTTGGGAGGCGGTATCCTGCGCCATGCCCCCCTCGGTATTGCCAATCCCCGGGGGAGGATTGTTGAACAAAGGAGGGAGTGGTGGTAGGTTGATAACATTCCCTCCAGCATAGGGCTGAAGGGGTGCCTGAGAGGCGAGGGCTCCGGAATTGAGAGCCATGTTTTGAACAAAGGCCGCAAAGGCAGCCTGAAGATCGATGGCCGGGGCCGGAGGGGGAACTTGGTTCTCACTCCGATCCCTCCTTCGATTATCAAGGCCAATGCGGGCATCAGGGGCGTTCTTCTGTAGTTGCTGACGGAGGTCAGCAGTAGCCTGCTCCAACTCAAGGATGATACCACCCTCGGGTACCAAGAGCCTGTTGGAGGCCTCAGCCCCGTTGGTTTCGCCGGGGGCTGCGTGGTTTTCCTCTAGAGTTTTGGATTGGGCACGAGTGGTTCTTCCCATTTTTGGTAGGTATTCTGTATTTGGTAGAGGGGGAGGGTTTCTTACTTGATAGTTCAGACCTCTCAACGAGAGCACCAAATGATGGATAGTCTACCCGGGGGGTATCTTATCCGAGGGGTTATTGCGGGAATAACTTAGAGAGAAGTCAGAGTGAATAGGAGGAGAGAGAGTCGATTTTATTAAATGAACTCAGTGTGTGTAATCGAGATGTAGATCCTGTCGATTACAAGGAGAAATGGGCTGCTATTTATAGCAGCAATAAATGCGATGAGAGTACACGTGTCAGTAATCCAACGGCCGAAGGGTCACATCAGCCTGGTGGCACCGGCAGTGGTACGTTCACCGCATTGAATGCGGTTGGCGGATGTGACGTGGCATTAAATGCGGTGGTTGGCTGTCCCCAAAAGGAATCTTCGATGATTGAGCATGCTTGGCCGAAGGCTTCTTGTGTAGCCGAGGGCTCCGTGTAACCAAGGACCCCTGTGTAGCCGAAGGCCCCGAGTGGCAGGGGGCTAAGTTCAGCCGAAGGCTCCCCTGATGCCGAGGGCTTGGTAATGCCGAAGGCTCATGTTTTTCGCCGTTTTCTCCCAGTGGCTTCGTATGTCAGAGAGGGCTACTTCGTGAGTTTCTGGAGCCTTCGGCCAAGGAGGCCGAAGGCACCCCCAGTATGTATTTCGGGCTATTTTGGGGCTTGGGCCGTTGCTTTTGGGCCTGAGTTGTTCTCTGGGCTCATTGGATATGTGTAGCAGAAGTAGGAGTCTATGGGCCGGGGGTTCTCGGGCCATATACTCCATCAGGAGTCCCTCACTCCTTTTGCCGAAAGGTACTTGAGGGAAAAGGAGTAGTTGTGTTGATTCTCCCGGAGGCTGCATCATTTCGTTGGGTGCCTTTGTTGGAGAATTCGTCTCCTGCTGATTGCCGAAGGCTTCCCTCAGGCCCTCACATGTCGAGGGTTTCCTGAGGGAAGGTATTCGTAACCTTCGCATGTTCGCCGGGGGCTCTCCTCAGTCCCTCACATGTCAAGGGCTTTCTGAGGGCAGTGTAACACCTGTATGACTGCAGAAGGCTTTATGTGTCACTTGTATGTCACTAGTAAGTTTTTGCTTATGTGAGAAACTTTGTTCAGTGTGATTCCCGAGGGGTGTATCCCAGTCCCCCACTCCTTTAGGCCGAAAGTATATTCGGGCTGGAGGAGTTATGATGTGTTGGTGAGTTCCCGAGGGCCGGTAACATCGATAAGCCGAAGGCTTATGCTGGTACGGGCTCGAAGGCACTTGGTGGAACTTGTTGCCTGAAGGATGCGGTGAGTGATAACCGGAGGCTTATATCGCAGTTTGCCCGAGGGTACTTGGTGATATGTGTCCACCGAAGGCTTCATTAGTAATAGCCGAAGGCTATCGTCAATGGTTGCCTCGAGAGGTTCTAAAATAGAGCCGTTGTGACACAGCCGTTGGAGGTGGTAGCCACGTGGCGTGCTCCAGTTGGCCGAAGGTGGGCGGGTACCACCCATTGGCTGAACCGGCGGCCCGTAATGATGGCCTTTTCAAATCGAGGCCCAGTTCTCGAGGCTGAAGGCCTATAAATACCTCAAGGCGGAGCTCAGTTCCCTTGTGCGTTTTTATGCGATAGCGAAGCTCTGCCAAAATTTCTAGAGAGAGAAAGTCCTTGCTTCGATCAAACCTCATTTCTAAGGTCAGTTCTTCTTCTGTTCTTCGCCTACTTAGTAAGTTTTGCTTCGTAGCCTTAGATCTACTGTTAGGGCCTGTAGTAGCCTTCGGCTAGAATTCCCGATTAGTATCTTCTCTTCACACCCTCCAACACCTTCTTTGGGTAAGATGTCTTCTCAAAGCGATTCCCAAGACATTTAGAGGGAGTCGTCGGTAGGGACCGCGAGCCATTCTGAGGTGGAGTCCTCGAGCGACCAGCCCTCGACGAAGAATGACCTCGCCATAGCCGACCTTGACTCGCATAAGCTAGGCAGCCTGAATGTTGCCGATCGTTTGAACTTTGAACCCTAGCCAACTGCAGAAGACAGCAAGCGATTTCGGATCCCCTAGTCTGGTCGTCTCTGTCTGGCACATGATTCTCTGATTCCATTGTACGATTCTCCAACTCCAGCGTACTATTGCCACGAGTGTGGCGTAAGGTTGCTGCAACTCCGGCGTCCAGTGTAGGTCGGACCTTCGGTGTTCGAGTGACAAAGCAGGGGACAACGTTTGAGCTAGGAGAGCTGGTCGGACGACTTCGAGCGAGCAGAGCAGTCGGGCGGCTACTCTCCGTACGATCTCTTGGTGTTATTTCTAAGGCCTCCCAGGTTCACTTTCCTTTACCTTTTGCAGAGAAGAACGTTCTTTTCTGCTTTAGTAAATTAGTAGGAACTAAGTTTTGGATGTTCGTAGCTGCTATGATTCATTGATATGAATTTCTATAAGTTTTAGATTGCTGATTAAGTTTTATAGTATAACTGTGTCAATGTAATTTCTAGTCTAGTGGTAATACAGAGCATGCCATTTAGAATGCCTTTGACCTGATATAGAATAATAAGCCTATTTTATTGAATAGATACATTAAATATTCTGAGTTTATCATCTATTGGTCGTATGTGTTAAATACTACGTATATATTAACTACTTTGATGCTCGGTATGATATACGACACTCATCAATATACTTGGTATAGTTTGATAATCAATTTGACATTAACTACTTTCATACTCGGTTTGATAAACTAAAGATATTTACTAGTATGATAACCAGTTTGACATTAAGTAGTTAAGTAGTTTAATACTCTGTTTGATATACTAGTACTAAATAGATATTAGCTAGTTTGATAATTAATTTGATATTAACTAGTTAGATACCCAGTTTGATATAGTAAATAGATACTAACCAGTTTGATGCTCAGTTTGATATAGTAAATTGATACTTGATGCTCAGTTCGATATACTAAACTGATTAGCATAGTTAGTATAATTTGATAATAATCAGTTTGATATTAACTAGTTTGATACTTTTCTCTATTTCCTCCTAGTTTCTTGTTTGTATGCTCAAGTGCATTGCCATCCTTCTGTAGTCTGTACTGAAGTGCTCATCTGGTACTAAAGTGCATGACCATCCTTTTGTAAAACTGAAATTTCTTTTTCCATGTCTAAATTTGGCAGGAAGTTACATTATTTCTTCTAGGATCATATTACATCTTTATTGGTTATGAGCCATCTGTTGCTATCATTGCTCTGCTATCGTTTTTCAGATGTTACAAGGTGATATAAGCTCAAAATCAATCATTAGTATCTAGTTTGCTTTTAATCCAAATATCTAACTTAATTGATTAGTGATTATTGCTAAACTTCAGATTAGTTAATATTCTATATTTCAATGTCAGATTTTGGATTAATTTTAATTTTCAATTTGTCATTAAAGGTTGGATGTTTTTATTTTTAACTATTAATTAAAGTTTTAGATCCGAATCATCAAGACGATACTGCCAATATAAAATTTGCATGTGATCAGGTGTTATTGTCTCGCATGAAACATCTATTTATACTTCATGCCTACAAGAATTAGAAAGTACTCCTTATGAACTGGGTTATGAGAAACGGGAAGAAAAAGTGGTTGGAAGCTATAACTAAGTCTCAAAGAGAAGCTCTAGATAGATTAAAGATATCTTAGAATCTACTGCAAACTTAGAATGTGGGGCCTCATTTTGGTACCAGAACAGGGTCTTTCAAATTTATTAGACGGGCCTCATTAGATGGGAAGCCAAAACCAGCGGAAATTCTAAGCCTGTGTGCCAGAACTTGGAAGGGTAGAAGGTTTGACTGCAAAACAAAACAAATGTGTAATTGTAGATTTATTTGGCGTTCTTCCAAGTAGTTTAAACGAAACTAAAGATATTTGGTTTTGAGATTTCGATGGATATTACGGATGCAGATATAATCAGAAGGTCAAACATCAGTTTGTAATGAAGATCATGGCCATCATAGTTCAAAATGAGTTTAATGCATATTTCATTTTATAAGTGTACTATTTTTTTTTACATGTACACATAGTTCACCCCTCACTGCTCTTACAGCTTGGGTACATAACTAACGGCAAAACGCTCTTTCAGGTTTACAAACTGGCAATTTCTTGTCTCCTAGCGACATCACCTGGTGATATATCTCAGCGACTGAACATATAATTATTTTCATTGGAATCAAATTGTCTTTCAAAAGAAAGCATGGGTGGTTCGGAACAGAGCCATAAGATGTGTCACCACCTACATGAGAAATTTTCAGATTCAGTTATTCTCTTCGGCAGCTTGGACGAAAGCTTGTTATATGAAATCCTTGCTAGGCTCCCCAGCAGAAATGCCATCCAGTTGAAATTGGTTTGCAGGCGCTGGCATTCTTTGATCTCTTCTGACTATTTTATTACTGTTTACAATCACCGCCGTCACGACACATCCCTCCCGCTAATTCGGGATCGTGATTCGCCGTCATATAGCCTTGTACTCCAATTGGCACATCACACGTCTCTCATTCGTTGTGGATACACATATAGTTGTGCCAGATTGTACAATCACAGGATGATTGATTTAAGTTTTCTTCCTTGTTCTCAGAGCAGCGGGAACATAATGGAACTGAACGCTTCATGTGCGGACTTAATTCTTTGTTCTTATAAGCGACACCCGTTGTCCCGAACCAAATTTTACTATGTTTGTAATATTCTAACTACGCAGTGGGTTGCTCTTCCTCCCGCCTTCCACTTCACAGACCAAGCCATTGGCTTCCTATGGGTTAACGTACTTGCACCATGTTCCCTTTGCCATTGCAATGGCAGTAATCAATGTGTACAGAACATTCGCCACAAGTTTATGGTGGTGCAAATCATTGCACATGAGAATGATTTGCCCCTTTCTGAGTTTGAAGTTCATCTCTTTTCGTCTGAGGATGCCCAGTGGAGAAGACTGACAGTTTTATCTCCACGAACCTTGAATGTATCTCGACCAAATAGCTATTCCAGGGATTTCCTGGGAAAGTCGTATGATGTTCTTGTTCCATACAAAGGTATGCTGCATTGGCTGACTTCTGATTGTGTTGTTGTGTACGACCCTTATGATTCTCCGGAAGGATTTTCTCATCTCATTGATCTGCCCCTAGAATCAGATTTCCAGTACACCTGTAGCAGCATTGCAGTGTGCCAGGATCGTCTTCGTGTAGGGCTATTTTGCTCCGCCCAAGGTTCATATGATATATGGGAGCTTGAGGACTATGAGGAAGAGAAGTGGACTTTGGTGCACAAGATTTGCACTAGAAGCCTAAATCTGTTCCCTCATCATTTGTTCCCGGATAAATACATACTATATATCCATCCTGACGGAAATGTTTTCTATAAGGATGGAAAAAACTCTTCTATACAAATATGCAATTTTCAAAGTGGAACCATAAATCACGTATATGAGTTAATTGACTGTGAATCCAAAGAATTGGATTTAGAGCATAGGAGTGTCCTTCAAATTTCTGATCAGGATTGGCCAACGCCAGTACCATTGCTGCTGCAGAATGTGTAGCCTTCTAAATTTAATTTAGTTTTTGCTTCTTCATGATAGTTGTTTTGTTACGCATTAGGTGCCTAGAAAATTGTTCACCTCTTTTTAGCTCATTATAATGTAATTGTGTTATGATATTCTCTTCTTATCATCTATTCAATACCAAATTGGCAATGTTAGATGTTACAATCAGTCCCAATGACTAGAATCATTTTTAAACTTTAGTCTCAAAAGAATTTGGGTTTACTAACATGAATCGGTTATTAATTCTTGTTGTCAATGATTGTTAACTTCTAAATCAATAAATTGCTCAACCAAATATTGAATGAACAGTAAGACCTGAGTGTTTTTTGTTTAAAAAAAATATAATAATGTTAATTCAGGACCACATGTTCGAAGATGTGCATTTGAACTTTTTTTTTTGCATTTGAACATAAAATGAAATAAAGAAAAAATACACTGGCTCTCCTTTCAAAAAAAAAAAAAAAACACTGGCTCTAAAAAAGAAAATTGGGTATATTTGAATGAAAAAAATCGTGGGTTGAAAATAGGTTTGACAATGAGCATATTTGTACCAATGAATAAAAAATATACTTAATTCATTGAAGTTAAATCAGTTAATATAAACTCCGTACTATAGTCTTCTTGACAGAACCAATGGTTACCGATCCGGAGCCTCTGCCTTGCTCTTCCGGGCCGTTCGATCGGGAATTGGACGGCCGAAGATGTTGGGCTCCACCCCTTCGCCGATCTCGAAGTCGTCCTCGTCGCCTCCCTACCGTCGGATGCCGCAAGGCACTCTGCCTTATGGCAGAGGATCCTGATCCAATGGTTACCACTTACCACACTGCCACACATGTGAAAAAGTTGAGCAATCAAGTACTAGATATTGTAATTTTAGCACTTAATTTAAATACAACTTTGCCCCAATTTTTTTACTACTTGCCATTAGTTTTTACAGCTCTGCTCCTATCTCTCGTTGGAATGAAATAAGCAACCAACTTGGTTTTCTGTTTTGGGTTTCAGATTTCAATTTCATTTTCATTACTGACCTACAATTTCAGTAATGGCATAACTTGTACTGAAGAATGCATTGCTAGCTCATATTACGCTGGTTTATGGATGAAAATGGATAATTAAAATGGGGGGCTCGGAGCTTCTTTACCTTTTAGATTTCCTAAAATGGATGAATTATCTTTACCTTTTAGGCCATGGGTTGGCATTGCTAATTTAGAATTGTCATTTTAAGAAATCTTGAAAGTATGAAACTGACTCGCACAATGCGCCCACAGTCGAACCTCCCAGAGATCATTTTCATTGCCACAAAATCGATTTCATTGAGGAAAGGCAGACTTTGTTCAAGTTTTCATCTGCTGATTTTGTTTTTCCATTTTCAAATTGCAGAAATTACAGTTTATTCATAAGAGCTGTTGTGCAGTTGAGTACAGAGCAAATGTCTTCTCAACAACCCTCTCTCATATGTTTGCTACTAACTGTGCTCATTCGATCATGCCCATTATTCCTATCAGAGGTTTCATTCTCATCGCTTGTTTATGATATGCCACGATCACTTTCCAATAAGTGAGTAAGGGAAGATTTGTTGGGACCCATCTTTAATTTAGAAGTTTCAAAAAACATTCTAAAATTCTAAGGTAATCTAAACAAGCGTAGAGTTAGGGTACGGCTTTACCGCCGCCTAGGGTAGGTTTCGAGTTTTTCCCTTCTTCTCGTTTTCAGCCATTGATTCAGGCTTGAGACAGAACGGAGGTGGGTGTTTTTGTTCTTCTTGGCAAGTTTGATTTCAGCTTTGCTTAGTTTCTTTGTTCTCGGCAAGTTTGACGACTTCAGCACTTCGGTTTGTTTTGTTCTTGGCTTTTGAGACGGACGAAGGTCGGTAGCACAAAGGCAATTGGGCAGATAAAAGCTATGGAGGATGTGGTAGAACAGTATAGAAGATTGGCTTTGGAGAAAGAAAACAGTAGGCTGAATTTTGATGATGAGGAGGAAGAGGATTCCGTGCCAAATGCAAAGGCAGTGGGGTTTCCGGTGGTGGGAGTCATTAATACAGACCGGAAAGTCAGATCTCAGGCAGTACATGAACTGTTTACATCGCTCTGGAGGCCTGGAAGAGGAATGACCGTCCAAGAGATTGATGAAAAGAGGTATCTCTTCACTTTTAATCATAAAATTGATATGAATCGTGTTATCGAAGATGGTCCTTGGTTGTTTGAACGAAATTTGGTACTGCTAAAGGCGGTTGGCCCTAATGATATACCTCATAAAATGGACTTATTTGAAGCAGAGTTCTGGGTGCAAGTGCACAACGTGCCTTATAAGTTTATGAATGTTGATACTGCTAGGAGGGTGGGTAACTATATTGGGGAATTTATATGTTTTGATGAGAGCCACTTTAAGGAAAAGTGGAGCTCTTATTTGAGGGTTAGGGTAAAGTTGGATGTGAGAAGGCCCCTAAAAAAGGGTTCTACTTTGACCAAGAGAGGGGAAGGGCACTGGGTAGATTTTAAATATGAAAAGCTTCCAAGTTTCTGTTTCATTTGTGGGATTATGGGGCACTCTGAGAAATTTTGCCCTTTAAAATATGTGGAGGATCTCGTTTTGGAGACAAATTTTAGTGCTGATCTGAGAGCAGGGGGTGGGGGGAAGATTAGCCCCACAAGGGGTGGTACGTGGTTGATGGATAAACAGGGAGGCCCGAGTCATCACAGGGGAATTCAGCAAGACGACGAAGGAACTATGAGACAGGGTCGTAAAGGGAGCACAGCTGAGACAGAAAGGAGTGGCACAAAGGAAGAGAATAGAAGTGGTGCAGGGGAGGTCTCAGTGGATCAGAAGCGCAGGAGAGTCTGGAAGGATCCAGCAGAGGATAACAACTCAGAAGAGGAGATGGCACTGGACAACACAAAAAACGGGGAGGGGGCGGGCCTCAGCTCTTAGGCCCGCCTGAGGTGGTCGTGAAGATGTGGATGCAGCAGTTCCACGGTGGTTCTTATTTTAGCATTGCTTTAGTTGTTTCGTTTGGCGTTCAGACTGTTGTTTTTGCTTTTTGTTTTGTTTACTTTTGTAAGACTCTCGCACTAGGCTCGGGTGACGAGTGTGCTGCAGTAACCATTGTTGGCTCAATTATGCCCATTTTAGGATCAACGAGTTATACTGCTTTCTTGAAGGTGGTTAACTCAGAGTCTGGCCCAAGGGCGGATGGTTATCGGTGGTACTCTTGTTATTCTATATCCTTGCTGAATGCTTTTATTCTAATATAAGCCCCCTTCATCCAAAAAAAAAAAAAACAAACGTAGAGTTTTCAAGTAGCTCGCACAAGAGTTAAAAGTATCCAGAGTGTTGTGATTTTTTTGGAAGTGTAGAAATATTTATTCTTGAGGCTTTAAAGTATTCTAGAAGTGTTAAGTCCTATAGACCAACAACAATAATAATAATAATAGTCATAATTATTATTAGTATTATTACTAAAGGATTATTAAAACGTTTAACCATTGGAGGTTAACATTTAACTTAATGGCATTTTATTAATACGTATTTTTTTTTTGGAACAACGTCGTATTTAATAATATGCTTAAGTAATTTGCTGCTGAGTAAGGGCAGCTAAGAAATTCAATTAAAGGAATCTGCCCTAATTATAATTTGAAGGGAAAAGTATAGAAAAAGTACTTGTGGTTTGGGCCGTTTTCAGATAGGGGCACATGTTTTATTTTTTTAACAAGTGAGACATGTGTTTCAATTCTGTTATCACAGTAGAGGCATGACGTCTAATGCCGTTAGAAAATTTAACCTCAATTTTCAAAAGTATCCGAAACATGCATTAAAATAAAAATATTGGGAGGTGCGCCTCATCAAGGAGACCAACAAACTATCGCTCTCTTTGAATTTTCGGCTCCATTTGAATTATTTTTTGAAATGAATTTGTTAGTATCACTTTTTTGGTAGATTTTTTGGCAACATGGTGGCGGTAAACAAAAAAAGAAAGATAAGTTGTTGGTCTCCTTGACGATGCGCACCTCCAAGTATTTTTCTTTTAATGTTTCGGAGACATTTAAAAATCGGGGTTAGATTTTCTAACGGCGTTAGACGCCATGCCCCTACTGTATAACGAAATTGAAACACATGTCTCACTTTGTTAAAAAATGAAACACATGCCCCTATTTGAAAACGTCCCAAACCACAGGTACATTTTTTGTACTTTTCTCTAATTTAAATTAAAGATGGCTATTATAAAATTTAATAAAGATTGAATGTTTGACCATAAACGGCCAAAACTAACGGAAACTAATAGGACTTTTTTTTTACTCCAGGGGGCGTCTGGGGAGAGGGGGTTGGGGGGGGCTGAAACTCACTCCATTGAGTTTCGAACCCGAGACCTCTCGTAAGGGAGAGTGAGTCGACGACCAGCTGGGCTGGACCGCTTCCTCACAGAAGGACTTGATTAAAATGCATTAAATAGAATATGGACTAAAATGATAAATTTATTAGTTGGAGGACCAAAACGCTATGATAATGATAGTTTAAGGACCATTTATGCTTTACCAGTCTGGTTTAACGGGGTTGGTCGGGTTTACCCATTTTTGGCCTATTACGTGATTCATGTAAAATACTCCGTAACAAAAAATTTTCCCACTTTCATTTTTCGTCCGAAAAAATCTTCTCGTTCACAACATATAACAAGTTTAGAAGCACAAACTCAATAATTGGACATGGCACATTTAGATTTATTGAAGAGGAAATGAGAGTATTGCAATTTCAGTACCGTAACATTTGGATGTGCCCCCATTATAAGTCCAGTAATTTACTTCATTGAAGATTGGTCCTCTAATTAATTAACTAGATCAACACAGGAAGAAATTAGTTGAAATTTATAGTATACTATGTGCAAAATAATATGGAGTAAATTATAGGTTCAAAATAAGTAGAATCTAAAAACATAGCTTTAAATAAATAGAAATTAAAGCAGTGTATTTAGTGACAAAAACTTTAAAGATTTTTTTCGGTTTTTTTCTAGATCGACAAACGCAAGAAGGGACTAGTTTCAAATAAAGGAACAAGAGAGGCCAATATTTCGCACAAACTAAGGCGATTAACATCACTAGATTTGGAAACGAGAGAGCTAGTTTCAGATTAGCTAAATTTGCTACTCTCTGCATGCCATTGGAGACGGAAGGCTAGAGTCACAGTCAGGCCGCCGCCTACGACGTGAAGAGGGAAGACACGGAGTCGCCTTCATGCCGCCGCACACAACCTGACTATGACTAGTTCTGCCTAGGGCTGGCAATATCACCCGCACCCGCGTATATCCGGTCAATCCGAACCGAAAATATGGACGAAAACCTGAAAAAGTATGGATGAAAAATGGATGACGGGTGGGTTGAAAGATGGGCTGGATCGGGTGTGGATGAACACTCATCCAACCCATCACCCGACCCGTCACCCGCTCCATACACTCACCCGCTAACCCACGTATAAATAAAACCTAATAAAAATATAGTAATATTTAATTAATTAAATAATATATATAATAATTAATATTAATTTATTAATATACATGTATTTTTTTAATGGAAAAGACACATATCTATGAATTGGTTTAATAAAGATAATGAGAGAGTTTCAAGAAGTGGCAGTTGAACTGCAAAAATGATTTCGTGCCGATGCAAAATGTAGAATGGCAGTTTGAAAAGTTTTATACTCCGTATCTATTTTGTTTGACAATCAGTTTTTTCTTTATACATAGTGAATTAATGATTGTAATATACTTAATTGCTCAAATTTTTGTTGTTATTATTCAATGAATTCTTAATTTTTGATTTTTAATTGTTATGATGTCTCCTCATAAAATATTTTTTGTCTTTCAAGTTAAATAATTTATATTCACCCGCTACTCACCCGATCCACCCGACAACCCGTTTATGATGGATGGATTGGATGTGGATGTAATATTTAATGGATGATGAACGGGTGGATGGATTATGAAAAATTAACGGGTGGACGTAGATGAGCCTACACCCGGTCTAAATCCGACCCGTTGCCACCCCTGGTTCTGCCCGATGAAAATGGAGGGAGTGGCCGGTAGTTCTTGAAATACCTAAGAAAATCTGTCTGGACAATGAAATTGGGATGATGGAGTGATGGACATGGATAATCCCTACTATTAGTGATCTGCTTGAAATAATCCAAAGTATCAATTATTCAGAATAATCCCAACTATTGAACAATCTCCTCAAAATACTCCGATGATTTATAATTATCCGTAAATAACTTATAATATTTATGAGTAAGTGGAGTATATTTTTACTATATATTTAAATATAGACCGAGAGTGATATAGAGCAATTTTTTACTAAAAATTTGGCTATATAACTTATCCAAAACATGTATCAAAATTGTAAATAAATACGGAGTTTATTTTATGAGGTACATTTTAGGTTAATACTTATATAATTCTGAAAAATAACTTTAACTAATACAAACTATCTTCCATGAACCAAGAATAATACGTGCTTTGGAAATAAGTTTCAATAATACTAATTATTTAAATATAGACCAATTTCTTACTAAAATTTTTTCTATATATTTAACTTATCCAAAACTTGTATCAAAATAACTAATAAGTGAGTGTAGTTCCAATTAGCATTTATTTGATGGGTTGCAATATTTAGTTTTTGATGTCTTAAATTATCGGATTTCTTGTCAAAAAGTGACTTCATATTATTTTTGTTTCACATTCAAGTAGTTCGTATTATTAAAAATCATTTTCAATTTTCAAAGTACGTATTATTATTGATTTATGGATGATAGTTGATATTATTTAAATAATTTTTATCATATTCTTTCAATAAAAAAGAAACGAGAATTATAGGGAATGAAAACGAGGTTACAATGACCATTGATCGGAACTATTATTATTATTATAAGTTTTTATTTATTTATTATATCGAATGTGAAAATACAATATCTATTGATTATTATTAGAACACTGAATTGAAAATATGTTTGTGTTGGTATTGTAATAAGCAGCTGGCCAGGGGATGGGAACTCAAAAATTAACAAGAAAATAGTAAGGCCGTACCTAACGTATTGGAACAATAAAGCTAAGATTTTGGAATGGCAATACATATTACTCCGTACATACATACGGAGTCAGTATGGGCCTGGTACATGTACGTACGACGTAATAATTAAAGTAGCTATGCTAGCTAGCACAGTGGGACCATATTGCAACAAACCCGTCAAAATACATACTCCCTCTCCTAAGAGCCCCTTTTGTCAACCGTCTTTTTTGGCATATCAGGCTTATCAGCCAATTTTTTTACCAAACACGTAATATTTTGTTTTCGCACGTTGGATTGTGTAATAAGCAGAAAAAATAAGGTTGTAGTTACTTTTTTGGCTGTATTGGCTGAAATTACTATAGATGACCATTTTAGCTATTTTTACATATAATTTTCCCTTTATTATATTAATAAAATATATTTTAAAAATAATTTATTCTTATATCAGCAGAATCAGCCAATGCAGCCACTTCAGCCAGAACTTCATAAATTTCAGCAGAATCAGCCAAAACAGCCGATTTTTGTGCTACCAAACGGGCTCTAAATTATTTTTCAACTTTCCTTTTTCTTTTGTTTCTAAATAATTTTCAATTTTTTGTTGATAAAGAATTTTTGTTAACAATAAATTTACAAACAATTTCATCACACAATTTAATTAATGAGTAAAATGTAATTTGCAAGATAATTTAGGGAGGGAGACCAGAAGGAATAAATAACCAATTAAAAGAAAAAAATGAACGATGAAAAGGCAAAACACCATACGGAAATGCTATAATATTGATTGATGACACAACAGTAATGACAAAAATAACGACATGCACTAAAGAATTAGTTGGACCAACTTTCGCAAATGGCAATATAAATAGGCATGCAAACCTGGCTTCCCATTTCTCATTGTGTAGTCCTCCTAGATATCTCGATCCACCTGGACCTGCATGCATGCATGCGCTACCTCCATCATCACATCCATCCATCCACACATATACATACACTAGCTACTTAATTCGACTTTTAGAGAGAGAGAGAGACATTTTTTGTTAGCTCAGTTCATCGCTAGCTAGCTTAGCTCTCATAGCTAATTTATAAGCTAAGCGAGGAACATCGATCGATCATCTCCTCATCATGGTTTTCTCTGGACATGTTAACTGGCCGTTTGCTTTCGGTGTTCTTGGTATATATTCTCATCGCTTTACTGTATGTTTTGTAGCTATATCGTCGGTCAAGAAGAACCATTCTTTGCTTTTAATTTTTGGAGATCGAAATCCATAATGATTTATATCATGCTTTTAAGCCCATGGACATAGCTCAACCGGTAGATATAAAATATTATAAGGGGAAAGTTTTGAGTTCAAATCATGACAACTACAATAATGGATTACTATGTAAAAAATGCATAAAGTCTCTACAAGTGCCTGTGCAGAACCACACTCGCTATATGTCAGCTTATAATTAAAATCCAATTTACATTCTCAAAGTTAATAATCATGCGTCCGGCCGGTGCTAAAGGTCTAAGGGAAGGGGTGCCAGGCGTGCCATCCTTTTTTATACCATCCATTAAATTTGAGATTCATCCAAATTGATCAAAACCATTTTGGTGTCTACATAGTACTATCTTTGTCTGTTGATAAATAAATTAGAAATTACACTAAATAGGGCTAAAATTTAGACAAACTGCGCACCAAGTATGAATATATGTATTTTATCCCCTAGTGGAACTTATTTGATTCTATTGAAAGTGTAAAACATTCTATATATATTAGGAGCAAATACGTCATATTTTAGGACTTTTCAAAGAAACCTTGTTTATGTTTTACTCTTATACAAAGAATTTTCTCAAAGTAAATGCAATAGTCAATTTTTCAACTCCCCGATATGTAACTTTGATATTAATATATACAATAGTATGTACTAGTACATTTAATTCTCTATTATGCAGTAGTAAAAACAGATTTTGAAATTCTATAATGAAATAAATTTAACAATATTATTTGAAAAGTATTGCATATATTTGTATAAACTATAAATAGTGTAATCAAATAATGAAGGTGAGAATAGAGGGAAATTGAGGGGGAGAGGGAGTGGGAGGAAGAGAATAATGTAATCAATGTGAAAAGTGCATCGTGATATGATTCACGAAGACTGACCTGCCCTTAAACCATTTTTATGGAACAAAAATGATCTTTGTACCCACTCTTATATCCATATTTGTACACACATATATTTGTAAAGTGTTTTTTTATTTTGTACAAACAAAATATTGTCAATGAACCGGGTTCTCAGATAAAAAAACTTCCACAAACATGGTGAGTATATATTCATATATAGTACTATATATAGTACTCCGTATATACATGCGTGCGCGTGCGCTTACTATATTCATATATTCATCTATTCATTCATTCCCTTTTGTTCTTTCCATAATCCTTTAATTTCTTTTTTACTCCTTATTTGCAGGAAACATCATCTCGTTCATCGTCTTCCTTTCTCCGATGTGAGACGTTTTATACATTCCATTTTCTATAGAATATTTCACATATTAATTTGGCATATAATCACTCCTAAGCGGCCACTATATCCAAATAAGCGATATTTGCAATTGGCCTTATTTTATCAATATTACTCCTAAGATACGTATTGCCTATAAAGTGATTAGAAGTTAAAAAGTCCAAGAATATGACTATGGAGCAGTTACTACACAACGAAAGAAATGACTTTAAATACAACCACATTAATACGAAAGAATTAATGCTACGGAGTATATAAATAGGAAAGAATTTAATTGATGATATATTACTTTTTTTCGTAATTGACATCCTCAAAAGTAGGAGTGCAGTACGGACTACGGAGTATATGTGAATTCTAATTAGTGATTTCAAAGTAAGTATTCCAGTTACCAAGTAAAAATTGACAAAAAATAGAGATCATATGTGATATTTGTAAGGAATATTGTTGTGGGTTAATGCAATTTAGTAGTGATTGAGTAATTATAGTGACTATTTTTTGTAAGTTAATTGGTTGTTGCATGAGAGAATGTTAATTCATAGTAACTATCCGAGTTGAGGTAACTATTTCTATGATCTGTATCAATCAATTCATGTTGCTGCCACCGCTTTTTCTGCCACCGTTGCTACTATTTCAGCCGCCGTTAGTGACTTTAAGGTTGCAAAGCATTAGTTACTTCGTCAACGTGGCAGTGATTTTAGGGTAAAGTCCTAAAATATGACGTGCCATCCTTTTTTATACCATCCATTAAATTTGAGATTCATCCAAATTGATCAAAACCATTTTGGTGTCTACATAGTACTATCTTTGTCTGTTGATAAATAAATTAGAAATTACACTAAATAGGGCTAAAATTTAGACAAACTGCGCACCAAGTATGAATATATGTATTTTATCCCCTAGTGGAACTTATTTGATTCTATTGAAAGTGTAAAACATTCTATATATATTAGGAGCAAATACGTCATATTTTAGGACTTTTCAAAGAAACCTTGTTTATGTTTTACTCTTATACAAAGAATTTTCTCAAAGTAAATGCAATAGTCAATTTTTCAACTCCCCGATATGTAACTTTGATATTAATATATACAATAGTATGTACTAGTACATTTAATTCTCTATTATGCAGTAGTAAAAACAGATTTTGAAATTCTATAATGAAATAAATTTAACAATATTATTTGAAAAGTATTGCATATATTTGTATAAACTATAAATAGTGTAATCAAATAATGAAGGTGAGAATAGAGGGAAATTGAGGGGGAGGGGGAGTGGGAGGAAGAGAATAATGTAATCAATGTGAAAAGTGCATCGTGATATGATTCACGAAGACTGACCTGCCCTTAAACCATTTTTATGGAACAAAAATGATCTTTGTACCCACTCTTATATCCATATTTGTACACACATATATTTGTAAAGTGTTTTTTTATTTTGTACAAACAAAATATTGTCAATGAACCGGGTTCTCAGATAAAAAAACTTCCACAAACATGGTGAGTATATTCTCGGTGACCGCTCATGTCATCCGGTACACCTACACAGCCTGGTGACCCAGACACCCAAACAGTGACTAGTGCCACAAGATGTCACTGAAACAGTGACTAGTAACCCAGACACCTAAACAGTGACTAGTGCACAAGGGGTAAATAAACGATCCTGCATTTGGTTTTCATAGTGACTGGATTTCATAGTGACCGGGCATCACGTACTTTATAATAATTTCAGAGAGAATGTATATTATTACGTATTTAGTGTGAACAAAGTGATCATAGGGCACCTTTAGTATGTAACTTAATGACTGTTTTAGTGACTGAATATGATATAAAACTCGGTGATTGTCACCTAGTGATCAGTGACTGCCGCCTAGTGACCAATTGACCTGCCCCGGCCGCAGTGATCATGATTTAGTGACCGCTGCTTAGTGACAGTGACTGATAGGGCACATTTAGTGTTTAACTTAATGATCGTTTTAGTGACTGAATATGATATAAAACTCAGTGACCGTCGGCTAGTGATCAGTGACCGCCGCCTAGTGATCTGCCCCGGTCGCAGTGACCATGATTCAGTGACCGCTGCTTAGTGACAGTAATTGCCGGTCTGCAGCTCAGTGACTTGACCATATCCGGGTGATAGCTTATGATTATATTTTACATTTTCACTTGTTCTTACAGAAGAGAAATAGTATTGGAGCCATAGTGACCAGCCCCCAACCCCGCCTCTCCTTCACCGGTCATGCGGTCATGCCTCAGCCCCTCCTAGTCCCAGCCTCATCGGAATTGCCGCATCCCCACCCCCAGCAAAACTGCACCAGCCCCGCCCAAGCCCCCCCCCCCCCCCCCCCCGCGGCCCCGCCCTAGCCTCACCCAGCCTAACACCAAGCAAACCTTACGTAGATCTTGAAATAAAAGACCCCAAATTAGATCCGGATTCACAAACTCTATAACTAGTTATGAACAAGAAGGCCGGGGTAGAAGAAATTTGATTGGTTGTCTGAGTTTCGGAAGTTTCGGAAGAAGATATAGGAGGAGTTGCAGACCGAAGAAAGGAGGAGAAGATGAAAGGGTGATGCCATCGACTGGTGTGCCGTGTGCGGCAGAGGGATGGCTGATACCAGGTTGTACGGCGGCGGAGAATGGGCGGTAGGAGGGCATTATCGGCTGCGGCAGCTCCTGCTTTCCCGTCAAATTAAATTAGATGCGGATGAATGAGTTGAGATGGAAAGAATAGGTAGTAGATTGGTACGGAGTATATTATTAGAGTTTAATTGGCAGTCAATAATTAATTAGGTCACTTTTTTTGGAAAAAAGATAGAAGGTAATACGTTTGGAATTGAAAAGTCAAATAGTAATATAGAGGCCATTATTTCTTTGCAATTTTAGTTCGGTAACTTTCAGCGATATCGGTATAAACCCCGTAACTTTACTTCTTGCAAATTTAATATTGTAACTAATAAATCTTTTCAAATTGGGACTTTCCACTGAAAATTACATTTTTCTGTAGAAAATCAGACGCTGACGACATCTTTCCGGTGATTTTTTTCCCATCAAATTTACTTGTAATAGACAAAGCCTTTAAATAAAAATTAGTTACATGATAAATTTGCAAGTGACTAAAGTTACAGAAGTAAATGAAAACAGCCGAATGTTATTATGAGGGGGTTAGGTCACCAATTGTTGGGTTAAGGGCCCAAGCCGAGGTCCGGCCCACTAACCCATTTTGCCAGACGAACGTCCAGTTAGAACACTAGGCCAGCCCACAGGCCCATATTCCTTGAGGATGGACGAACGTCTGGTGTTGGGGGGCTCAGGCCCAGCAGCTCATCCCGACGAACGTCTATGCAGGGACAAGGAGCAGAACCACGGGCCACCAGGGATGGCGACGAACGTCCCCAGAGCAAGCCTGTAGTCATCGGAGGAAACCCAGTCCACATGGTGAGTATCTATCAAGGCCAGGAGACGAACAGTCGGTATCACCTGAGGGTCACTTGGAGCAATCCAACTCACTTCCTGGGTGGACGAACGTCCCCACTGATCCGGCGGGAAACCTAGATTCTGGCGGGAAGTGCATTTAATGCTAAAGATTGGGTAGTTGGGACACCAGCGGTCCACAGGCTGCCACGTCACTACAGCCACCTGCCCATTGGCGGGTATAAATAGAAGCATTTATTTCATTGTAAAGGGTTGGCAATTTTCTATTCTTAGCATACTAGCTTCAGCATTCTTACTCGCAGCATTTTTGACTGCCTTGTAAGACGAACGGCCGACGTGCCCTTTTTAGCAAGTAGATTGTACTTAGGGGAGTTATTACGGAGTTAATAATACCTATTTACATTGCCTGCTATTACTCTTGTTTCCTGATCCATCTGATAGTTGTTGGGCTAGACATTCATACACTCACTCCACTCGAAACCTTTGGGCTTACGTGTTGGGTCCAAGGGTTGAAGGAATAAACCTCAACACTGGTGCCGTCTGTGGGAAACTGAGCAAAAAGTTTCCAGAAACTCTCCCAAACAGCTACTAAGTCTACCTACAGCAAACACGATGTCAGGAAGCAACAACCAGCGTGATCTCTCCGAGCGTCTGGAGTCGAGCCGTCGGAATCGCGGCCAGAACTCGGAACTATCCGCAACAATATGGACCTCAGGAGGAAACGGGGGTATCACTGACCTCATTCCCCTGGAGGCCAGGCAGGATCCCCACCTCATGCGGGAACTCGCGGACACCATGCGTCGCTTGGCGGACGAACGGGAGGCCCGAGATCGGGTGTACTCTGCAAGCACCCAGCGAACGCCCCTCTCTCCCATACGCCGCATGCAGTCGTACGATGATACGACAGGCTCCAGCGACCACCGGCCCTCCGTCCACGAGCGGCTAGGTGGGGGTTCAGGCTCCCGTGAAACGGGAGGGCGAACCAGGGTCAGCATCGCTGCATCCAGGGCTCTCACACCATCAGTTCCCTGCCAAATTCCGCGAGGAGACGAGACCCCAAGGATCAACACCGTTGGACGACGTTTCCAGCGGCGAGGTGCGCAGATCTTCAGGCGGCCGCACGGTGCTGTGGCCGCTCAGCAGAACGCCACCCCCGAAGCCGCGCCCCCTGTGTCCCCCGGAAGGGCCGCACAGGACGCGAGGCTGGAAGCCATGGAGAGGCAGATAGCCGAGATGAATAGGCGGGCGGACGTCGGCTCGGCCACACCCTCCTTCTCTCTCACATCACCTTTTACTCCACGGGTGATGAGCGTCGAAATTCCCCGGGATTGCAGACCCCCGGGGAACTTGGTGTATAATGGGGCTGGCGATCCTAAGGCCCACCTGATCAGCTACCAAGGGAACCTGTCCATGCTGGGAGCATCGGACGAAGCCATCTGCAGATTGTTCTTCAGCACCCTCAGGGGGCCAGCTCAGGAATGGTTCGGCCAGTTGAGGCCAGGCACCATTGATTCATACGAACAGCTTTCTCGGCAGTTCATGGCACAGTTTGCTGCCA